GTTCTTTTCCTTCTTGTGCTCCATACGGAGAACGAGTCTCGCGTTGTCGAGGCGAACCGGTCACGGTTTGCCGTGGAATGCTTCGGGTTTCTCTGGAGTGAGCAGCGATTAATTGAAATAGGCTGCATAATGTTCAATAATCCTGGAAACCATACCTTTCATACCATTCCACGCCCGCTGCATGGTGTACGAGCACTGTGCCGCCGAACGAGGTTCTGTTGGACACCAGCTGCAGGCCGGCGTTCCGTCTCAACTCAGCGATCAGGGCAAAAAATATGTGTTTACTAGTCATTATAGCATTCCTAATAAAGCATAACCAGATTTTTGAATGAGAAATCGGCGCTCTTCTCCCCAGCAAAAAGCCTGTGCCTCGATGTCGGCAGTGGGAGTGCAAGACAAGCATATTTGCATTCGTGTTCTGCGAGCTCATTGCCTCGGTATCGATGTCCCCTCACCCTGCCTAGAACCTTTTGTATTGTAATAATAATATGTATTGTCCTTCGTTTATTTGCCGTCTGCTGGGATCGCAAGAGGTCGCGTAACTCACTCGGAATGCACCGGCCTGCCCACCAGGAACAGGAACAGCGCCATGTGCACCGCAGGCGCCGACTGCCTGAAAGCCGCTGCAACAAACAATAAGGTCGTAATTAATGCGATTTGAATAGGGTTAATATAACTTGCTGATCTTTTGGGTTGCATCTAGGCTTCGTGTTCGACTACATAAACAACCATACGGTGACAATGGCACCTCTCAAACTGCTCACAGTCGTCAGTTCCTCGCTCCTCCTCCTGGCCAAAGCCAACGGCGCGGCAGCAGCCGACAAGGCAAATTACACTGTAGAGTTGGGTAGGTTTCCCAGTAACAAGTGCGCTTGGCTGCTTGAATGACGCGCTTGCATGGCAAGAACCCATCACCTGGCAAGGACCCCATAGTGTGCACAAAAGGGCATAACCCCGCGAACGAATTCGGTTTCCAGCGAATTCAAAGGTTTCCAGGTAGCATTTTTTTGATTGCAAAGCATTCTTCACAAATGCAAGATGATTTGGTCGCTTTG